CGCTTCTCCGTGGGCCCTCGGATGCCTTCGAGAGGCCCTCGGGGTCCCTCGGAGGCCTCCGGAGGCCCCCGAAGGCCTCCCGAGGCCTTCGCGAGGGGTCTTGGGACAGTTGCCCTCGGAGGCCCGTCGTGGTCTCCGGAGGGCTTGAGGGGGTTGGGGCAGCCGTGCGCGCACGCTCCCGGACTCGTGCATGGTCCTGGTCCTGCCAACTCCCCCACTCTTTCCCCCCCCCTCGTGCCCCCCCCTCCCCCCTCACCCCCCCCCTCCCCCTTCCTCCCCCTCCCCTCCCCCTCCCCATCCCCCCCTCTCGCCTCCCCCCGCCACTCCCTCCCCCTCCCCCCTTCGGCTCTTGCTGGCCGTCACCCCTCCACGGTTTCGCAACGATGACCGAGGCATAGGAGGAGGAGTGGGGAGAGGAGGAGGCGGAAGGAGCGGAGGAGGAGAGGAGGCGGGAGGAGGAGGAGGAGGAGGAGGAGGAGGAGGAGGGGAGGAGGAGGAGGGAGGAGGAGGAGGGAGGAGGAGGTGGAGGAGGAGGAGGAGAGGAGGAGGAGAGGGAGGAGGAGGAGGCGGAGGAGGAGGAGGAGGAGAGGAGGAGAGGAGGAGGAGGGGGAGGAGGAGGAGGAGGAGGAGGAGGTGGAGGAGGAGGAGGGGAGGAGGAGGAGGAGGAGGCTGAGGAGGAGGAGGAGGAGGAGGAGGAGGAGGAGGAGGAGGAGGAGGAGGAGGAGGACCAGAGAAAACACAGGATGCATCGACCATGGTATAACACGCCTCCCGTTCCAAGCCCCGTCGTATTAGGTCCCTGCGCGTATCACCTATACGACCACCCTTCGGGTGATAAGGAGGTTCGGGGGAAACCACGTCTCGCTCGATCGATCTCACTGTCGATCTCACTGTCGATATCACTGTCGATCTCGCTATCGATCTCACAATCGATCTCACTACCACTCTCACTATCGATTTCACCGTCGATCTCACTATCGGTTTCACTATCCATCCCATTATCGGTCTCACTACGGAACATCGACGGGACACCGACGGGACACCGACGGGACAGCACTATCGATCTCACTATCGATCTCACTATCGATGTGTGTATGAGGAGGAGGAGGAGGAGGCGCACCTGCCTTGTCTCCGTCCCTCGCCCTCCCCCGCCCCGCCCGCCCCCTCCTTCGGGCGGTGAGCCGTCCCCCAGCCGTGCTTGGAGCCCCGCCAGACCAAGGGATGCCGGCCTACACGGCCCGCATGCGTCCAGGAGCTGGTCTGCCCATTTTGGCGTGGCACCAGAGGGGGATGCAGGTTCGTGTGCACGGCTTCCCCCCTTTTCGAGGTCGGCCCCTCCAATAATGGATGGGCATCGACTCAATGCTCCTGTGCATTGGCCATCCCTGAGCGGGAGGTGCCAGCATACCCAGGCCACCCTCCTCTTTCCCCTCCTCCTCCTCCTCCTCCTCCTCCTCCTCCTCCTCCTCCTCCTCCTCCCACCCGATGCCCGCCCAGGCCACCCCGCGCTTCCTCGTCGCCTGGCTTTCGGGTGGCAGCCCGGGCCTTGGGCGGCAGCCCGAGACGACTCGGGCAACCCCAGGAGGCTCTCGGCGCAGCGTGCAGCTGCTGGAAGGCGTCCTGAGGATGGAAGGTCGTCGAGAGCCGACGAAAACGTCCGAACCGACGAAAGCGTCCGAACGGTCCGGAAGCCTCGAAGCTACGTCCCTCCCTGCGCCTACCTACCAGTAGTGCTGCCCGTGCCCCCCCCCCCTGGGGAGAACCGAAGCCGTCGACCGGCGGCGAGCGCGGGGGGGAAGTGAGCAGGGGCGGGTCTTCTCAGAAGGCTCGGAACCCCCCCGGGCCTTCGGAGAAGTTTTCCAAGCCTTCCCCGAATCAACAGAGCCCTTCTCAGAAGGCGCGAGGGCTTCCGAGAAGTCCCGCCGCCTTCTGAGAAGGCCTTCGCCTTCTCACTCCCCCCCCCGAGTTGTTTTTTGACGGCCCTGGGGCCCTGCGAGGGCCTCCCAGACCCGAAAATAGCGAAAAACCTTTCGTCCTGATTTTTGTAACGACGCGAGCATGTCCGGGGCTGCACTCGGCGCCGGCCGAAATGCCTTCGCCTCGCTCGCGCGCCGAGTCCAGCAGCGCCCAGGCCCCGACGAGGAACGCCCGAGCACCCCGAGGAGCGCAGAGGGGCCACTCCCGTAGGAGGAGGAGGAGGAGGAGGAGGAGGAGGAGGAGGAGGAGGAGGAGGAGGAGGAGGAGGAGGAGGAGGGGAGGAGGAGGAGGAGGAGGAGGAGGAGGAGGAGGAGGAGGAGGAGGAGGAGGAGGAGGAGGAGGAGGAGGAGGGGAGGAGGAGGAGGAGGAGGAGGAGAGGAAGAGGAGGAGGAGGAGGAGGGCGCCGAGGGCTCCCTTCCCGCCGCCGCCGCCCGCTGCGCGAGCCTCAGTGGCGGGGGCGGCCGCGGCAGCGTCGCGGCGCGGCGCGGCGCGCGCCCGCTTGCGAGCGCGCGCGGCGGCAGCGGCACGCCGCGCCCCTGGGTGGGGGGTGGCTGCAGGTGCGCGGGCGGAGGGGGGGGGGGGGGGGAGGGGGGGGAGGGAGGGGGGGGAGGGGGGAGGGGAGGGGGAAGGGGAGGGGGGGAGGAGGGGGGAGAGGGGAGGAGGAGGGGGAGGGAGGAGGAGGGAGGTGTGGAGGGGAGGGGGGAAGGGGGGGGTCTCTGCTGGAGTTTGCTGCGATGCCACGCGCACGGCCGCTCCCACCATCAGTCGCCGCCGGTGCCTCCATCCCGCTCGGACTCCGACCGGAGACGGGAGGCCACACTCGCGAGGCCACGCTTAAGTCGGGCCTGTCCCTCTGCAGGAGGAATATTCAAAAATCGTCCACAAATCGTCTGGGGATCATTTTTTTATGATGTTTGACCACTTTGGAGTATTTTTTGAATACTTTTTATTTTTCGCCCAAAGTCCGAATGTGGGGGGACATGCCCGACCTGGGGCAACGTCTCTCCTGCGGCTTGGCGGCGGCGGCAGCGAAGACGGCAGCGATCTCGGCCTCGCCCCCCGCAGAGTCCTCCGAGAGGGTCATGCTCTCCGCAGTCTCGCTCGGGAAGCGGGCGGGCGTACGCAGACACTCATGCACCTCAGTGTCGGGCTCGGGACATATTCTCCCCCCCCTCCTCCTCATCCCCCCCTTCTCTTCCTCCTCCTCCTCCTCCTCCTCCTCCTCCTCCTCTCTCCTCCTCCGCTCTCCTCCTCCTCCTCCTCCTCTCCTCCTCCTCCTCCTCCTCCTCCTCCTCCTCCTCCCCCCCCCTTGGTGGGGGTGGGCGCACTCTCTGGACAGCCACCTCCCGTCAGTCGTTGCGGTGCGGCCGCAGCGCATGCAAAAGACGGGGCCGCGTTGCTCCCTTCTGGCGAGGCGGTGGCTCGCACACAGTCGAGTCGAGCCCACCAATCCAGCCACGCCTCTCCCGAGGTCGCCTCGAGACCCTCGCCATCATCCGAGGTACCCCCCCGCGTCTGAGCCGAGTCCAGCGACGGCGGCGGACGCGGATCACGACCCTGGGTCGAGGCGGCAGTGAGCGTTTGGCTCCTTTCGGGGCAGCCATCTTGCACTGCGATCGCCGCAAAAACGACCAGCAAACGGCGCGAACCTGTGAGAGCTCGCGCTGGTCGCGGTGGCAAGCTTCGATGGCTTCTGAACACGACGCGAGGGCGGCACGCGAATTTCCTTCCACGAACTCCCTGCCAGGATCCAACCTCGAGCGCCATCAGGAGAGCTCTGCGGGCACGCCTACGCACCAGTGCCGCTGCCGGGTCCCACCAGTCCGTCCGAGGGGGGGATCCACAACGCACCAGTTCCACGCCCACTGGGCCGCCTTCCCCGCAAAGACATCGGCATTGGCGCTACCCTGGCACAGGAAAGTATCAAAAGCCGAGGTGTCAGAATGCAGGGAGGCACTCCTCAGTGCGCGACGGGGTCCAGACCAGGGAGACATCTCCAGGGCCGCGGCCGGCCAACGCGCGACCGGCACGGACCCACAGGTCCCGTTTTGGCTCCTGGGAGATTTCGCACGCCCAGCGTGCCAATCCGAAATCAAACTTCTGCAGTCCGTAACATACCAAATCGGACCCCTATCGACTTCCTCAGCGCAGGACAGAAGGCCTGACATTCAGCCCTTGGGGACCGCTTGCCGTCTTCCCGAAAGAATATGAGCGACCCCGCACCGAGGGAGCCACTGCAATGACGACATGGGATCCTGGCACATCACTGCCCCCGCCGAGCCGCATGTCCTGCGACGGCGGTCTGCGCTGAACGGGCCTCCCAGGCCATCTCCGAGAGCGAACCAGGGAGGGCCTCCCGGAGCCGAGCGAAGATCTGCAGTGGTCCCCACTCCAAGAGGAGACCTCCTGGGCAGCCTCCAGAGACTCCAAGAGCGCGGGCCCCGTGAGGACCCTCGAGGGCACACCTCGCAGCCGCAAGGCCGGACGGGCCGCGAGGCCGGCGAGGGCCCAGGGAATCAGAACCTGAGTTCTCGCGACGTCGACGTGCCCGCAGTTGGCTGGGCACGACCACGCTCGGTGTGCAAGGCTCTCTGGGCCCTGTCAACAGCGCAGGCACGGCGGCGAGCACTCACGCTCCGTCGCAATCTGCCCGTCGCTCGTCCAGTGGCCGCTGGAGGTGACGGTGATGTCGACGGCCCACTCGTCGAACCTCGCCTTCCGAGGAACCGATGCAGCTCGATGCGCACCGTCGTCGTGTCTCCGCCACCTGACAGGGCCTCCCCTCCAGCGTGCCTTGAGGCCTGCCTGCCGCTGCAGGGCCGAGCAATCATCCATGAAGGCGCCGAGCACGTCCTCGACGGGGACGGGCGAACTGCTCGTCGCCGAAGCTCGGGGAGATCCAGTCGTCGATCGTGGTGTCCTCCCCCTCCTCCTCTTCCTCCTCCTCTTCCTCCTCCTCCTCCTCCTCCTCCTCCTCCTCCTCCCCCTTCTCCTCCTCCTCCTCCTTCTCCTCCTCCTCCTCCTCCTTCTCCTCCTCCTCCCAGCCGAAGGGCGGGACCAGATCCTCGGCGACGGCGGGTCCCACCCCGCCTGGATGAGCGTCGCCTGCAGCGCGGCAGTAGGCCCTCGAGCATCCCGCCATCTGACTGCAGTGCCCTGGCGGAGCTTCGCCAGCGCGCGCGGCCAGGCCTTCACCATCCTGGGGCTTTGTGGACCCCGGAAACGGCAGGGCCGTTTTTTCACCGTTTCCAGAAAAATGTCCCTTGAAAATGGAAACGGCAAGAAAACGGCGACCGGAAACGGCAAAAAACGGCTCCAGGATTGGAACCGGAGCCGGAACCGGTCAAAAAACGGCGACGGAACCGGTAAAAAACGGCGTTGGAACCGGCGAAAAAACGGCAAAACGGAACCGGTAAAAAAACGGCCCTGTCGTTTCCAGGGCCCACTAAGTCCTGGGGTGCATAGTTGGCTGAGCCAGCCACAGGACGACCCGCTCTGAGCATCTGCCTCCTCAGGTCAATCTAAGGATCAGGCGCGGCGTGCACCGCCTGCGGAACCGTCGTCAAGCAGCGGCCGCGCTTGGCCCCAGCGACGTTGATCGCGGCGCGTCGCCAGCAGCGTCGACGGCGAGGTGCCCGTGCTCTGGGGGCCGATCACGGAGGCGGGCACGACGCCCGTGCTGAACAATTTCTTCGCGATAAATTTGCTCTGCGGCAATCTCAGACGCATCGTCTTCTGCTGCCTGCGCCGCGCGTGGGCCCGCCGCTTCATCGTGCGCGCCGTAGTCAGCTTGCGCCCTTCAGCATTGTCCGAGCCTGGGTTGACCGTGGCTTGGACGAACTGCGCAGGCGTGCCCTTCTCCACCAGCCGCCGCCCCAGCTCTGCACCGATCCCGTCGGAGCTCGCGACCAGCCTGGTCTTGCCCGAGAACCTCAGACGGAGCCGACGTAGCCCCCAAACCATGGCGTCCGTGGTCGTGTCCAGATCCTCAATCACCCGCCGCTTCGTGTTCTCGATTCTGCCCAGGGTGTCATCGATATATATATATATATATATATACACAGCTTCATGGCCCTGCAGGCGGGCCAGCGCGGTGGGCGCTGTCCCGCAGCTGGTGCAGCGTGACCTCAGCGAGTGGGGCACCAGGACCTGAGCCAGCCACAATCGATCGTGAGACAGCCACGTCGTCCAGGGCTCATTCCCGTTCCTCCGATTTGATTCGATTCGATTTCGGTGGATTCCTATTCCGATTCGATTCCACATCGGATTCCGATTTGGTATCCGATTTCTCAGTGGAGGCCTACTAGCCTGCCGATGTCGACCGATTCGACTTTTCCCGACTCGGCTGCCGATTTCCGCCGATCCGAGTCATTTCGATGGCCGATTCGACTTATCGATTCGATTCTGGCCTCTCCTGACTTCGCCAGAGATCATCTGGTTCTTCTTCAGCAGCCCCAGAGATGCGTAAAGGGCCCCCCCCCCCCCCGACGCCACAATGGTAGCGGGGAAACCGATCTCGAGGCCGGCCTGCATGACCGAAACGAAGCTGACCGAATCATAGCACTCTTGGCCACATCCAAGAACAGCGTCGCATGCCCAAACTCCACCTCTCCAGGCCCCTCGTCCATCGCAGCTCGGATGAGGGCCGCCCTCGAGGCGGATGACCCCGCGATCGCGGTGTGCCGGATGGCGGACATGGAGGGCGACCCTTCACCCGACGCCTCGGTGCGAATGTTTGACCGCACCTTCTGCAGCGTCGGGGCCAACCCAATCGCGCGGCTGCTGCTAGGTTCCTCGGGGATGGCAGCGCCGAGAATTGCGCGCGATCGCGACGGCCAGGTGCCGGCCGCGTCGGCAGCATTCCAGATGTCCACGAGGTGCTGCTGCGCCACAGGCTCGCGCTGCGCGCCTATCGGGTTCAGGACGTCGACCCCGTTCGCTGTCTTCGCAGGGATCCTCGGCAGCATGGCGTCCAGGTCCAGGATCGAGATGGCGGGCGACTCTCGAGCCACCCGCAGGCACCTCGTCAGCATCGCCTGCGCGTCCTCGGCCGCGCCCGCTGGGTCGCGCCGCGCGCGGGCCCGCCAGCTGGCAGAGGCCTGGAGGAGCAGCTGCCTCTCCCTGGTGGTGGGGGGGCCGGCTGCTGTCGACCCCTTCCCGCTGCAGAGGCGGCGCAGGCTTCGCACGTCTGTGGGTTGCTCCAGGCTGCGATGCCCGCTTCCCCTTCGCCCGCTTCACGGGGGAGGACCGCGCCGCAAAAGCGGCGCGCGGGAGGCAGGCCAGTCAGCCCACTTGCGAGTCCTTTCGTCCAGTGCGCCAAGCTATGATGAGGGGCTCCGTCCAGGTCAGCCACCGTGGCCTTCCAATCCTCGACCGCGGGGGCGGCTGCCTTTTCGCCGGAGCACTCCACGACCGTGTCCGCGTCCAATTTGCAAATCATCACCCTCGTCTCCCGCGCGCAGTAGGCCGCCTGGCTAGGGGTCAGCCTGGGGCATCCCGGGGCTCGCGTCAGCCTGGGGACGT